GTGTTGTTAGCAAACTTGCTGAGGGACGTATCATCTCATAATATCTCGTATTTTGGAGCAGAGCTTTTTACTGTGTTTCGGTCGCCATGTGTCAAAATAGCCAAAAGGTCAAGGCAACGTAACCGAAATAATGCAGTCCTGGGCGGCACAAACGCGTCGTTGGGTGGCAGAGGAAAAGCTTGCTCTCTGTTACTACTTTTCCTGCTTGTTCAGATGCTCTGAAGCGCTGTGAGAGAAGCAGAAGTCTCTGAAGAGAGGTGGTCATGTGGGTTCCCTGAAGGCAGTATTCCTGCTTCATCTTTGAGGTGGCATTTTAACACGTCCGTAACTTTTTTAGATCAACGTGCTCTTGGCAATGTTGAGATAAACCTAGTCGAAGAGGAAGAAGAAAAAATGATGGTGATGAGAGAACTAGGGCCAACTAGTTCTAGAGAAGGAGTCAGGTACCACCGCGAACGGCTTTGCACACCCAGCATCCTCCTAATCCCGACTGTCCCCACCATCTCACCGACCCTCAGTACCACCCCCGGAGGCTGTCACCGCTTCCGTGGCGTACGTCATGCTGGGACATGGCACCGGTTGGCCTTCCGAAAGGCTAACGCTGTGGCTGGCAGAACTGAACTGCCGTGCTGAAAGGGGGGGTGGAGATAAGAGATGGTGGTGGTGGTTTGGGATTTTAGGGCGGATTTCCAGCAAGACGTGGGTCTAGGAGTTTGTCTTAAAAGTGTCATTTCAGTCTCTGAAAAATCTGGTGGTTTATGCCCCTCCGCCTTGTATGTTCTTGGCCACGTGGACACTTTATTCTGTACAGGTTTTATACACACAGCTTAGTTATCTTTTCAGGGAAACAAGAATTATTCCGAAGGAGTTACTTAAAATATAACTCTTTAATCTTTAACACCAAATTTTCTAGTGTCTTTGTCTAGCTGAGTGGACACTGGTAACCCTGAGTGGGTTAGAGTGTGACCCTTGCCGCATAAACTGCGACTTTAGGGATATGAGACCACGTCAGAGAAACGATTTCAGGTGACAGGTATGTTTGTAGTGGAACTCCCCTAAAACCCAACATCAGGAGAACTCAATAGCTTAGTGCCTCTGTAGGTGCGCACGGTGAAGTCACTGGTGTCAGGCTTTTCAGGGATGGGGTGCTCTCTGGGAAATCAGGGATCGAAGGGAAGAGTAGGCAGTTGATTTTGTGTGGACCTAGCGCTTGTATTTAAGACTGTCATCCTCTGGCTAGATGGGTTTTTTGGCAGCACGCTCTTCATTTCTGCACTGTCACCGGTCTGGAGATGCTGGGTATCTTCTCGCAGCGGTGCCGTGGGCTGCGGCAGGAGATGCCCACCTCGGACCCGCAGCCCAGCCTGCTTCGAAACCCACCGGGAAGGTGCTGTAAAGTTCTGCAGAGCAATGCTGGGGGATGATTGTGTCTGAGCTGCTGAAAAGGCCGGGGAGATGGGGCACAGCCCGTGTTGCCTTTCCAGAAGCCGTCTGTTTCTGGCCGAGGGCTCCCCTCAGCTCTGTGTTTCTGTTTGGCTAGGATGGACGACTTGTGTCTGTGGTGTGCGAAGGACCCAGAAATCGCTGGCACAGTGTCAGAAATAGATTTGCCTTGCTGGTGTGGCTTCTCTGCAGAGTGCAAGCTTGCTTTTTGTAAACCATCTGTTGGGAGGTTTTGGTTTGTTTTACTTAAACCATAAGGAAAATAATTTCAACTTTCCCCTACTAAATGCACAAGCTGCTTGGCTTACCATCTTTATTTCCTTTTCCCTCTTTTTCCTCCCTCCTCCCTTTCTTTGTAAACAACAGCACTGTAGTTTGGAAAGACACTGCCTGGCGCTGCCCGCTCTGAACCTTGTCCCCGTCTCTCTCCCCCATCCCCAGCAGTGGCCGTGATAACCCCCGAGAGGAGTCCCTGGCCCACCTCTGCCCCGGCCATCGCTCAGAGCCACGCTGCAGAAGCAGTCCCAGCGAAGCCTGACACGAAGGACGTGCTTGCTGCCTCCAAAGTAGAAAAGGAAGCAGCAAAACCCGATGGGAGGCGGGAAGAAATCCCACCGGAGAAAGCCAAGCCGGAGCCAGCTGATGCATCAAAGGTATGTCAGACCACACTCTCCTGGGAAGAGGTGCCGGGCTGGAGCGTCGGCTCTAGAAGCTGTCGTGGAGCAGCAGCCGCGTGCTCCTTCCCTCCCGGCCAGCGAAGGGTTTATCCCTTGCCCAGGCTTCAGGTGGGAATGAGGTCTGGAGCTCTGGGTCCCAGAGCAATCCCAGCCCTGACTCCCCGGTGCGAGGCAGCGGGAGGTGCTGGGTGGCTGCGGTCCCGCTGAGCGCTGACATCTCGTTAACAGCGCTGGCAGGAACGGCACAGGGGTTCGTGGTACGGGGACGTAGGGCTCACCCGGCGCCAGGCTGCCTCTGCCGATTCCTGGTACGGCGGCGGGAGCAGTTCCAGTGAAACCGGTGATACGGATCTGGGCTGCAGCCCGGCGTCCGAGTGTTTTTTGCACTGATAGGCTTTCTCTGCGGGAGCCGGTGACACTGGGCTGAAGTTGTAGTCGTGGATGGCCCTGTTGAGACCTTGGGGGGATTTATTGTTTAAATGAAAGTTTTAAAAACATTGTTTGATCTTTGTACAAATGTCTGAGACCTCCATGGGCGTCGGGATGTGTGTTTTGTTCTCGTAAGTGGAAGTAATGTGCACAATGAGCGTTCATCTTACAGCCTCCTTAATGTTCTGCAACTCTTACTGCCTGAAACCCTCCCGTGTTGCCGCAGAGGTGAACGCCTGGGGACACAATTTTCATGTTACTCTGAATATTTAGCTGTTCTCACCGTTACTGGAGCCACGTTTTTGCTCTAACAGGTCACGCCCTGGGTCTTGTATGACTTCCTCCAGGGGAGATCGCTGTTAATTAAGGTTGGGAGATGAAGGTGGAGGAAGGAGAGGTTCTTTAAAAAAAATATTGTGGCCTGTGTGACCTGTAATTGTACAATGCAAATGCTGAAGAGACCTTCAGGATGGCACTTCGGCGTGTGCATCGTGACACGTCACTCCTGGAATGCTGCTCCTGCGCGGCAGCTCACCCTCCCTGGCGCTGAACTGAGAACAAGGGGATGTTACTCATCCCATCTCACTTTTTACAGGGTTTTTTTTCCCTAAATGCTAAAACATTGGATTTTCTTTTTTTTGTTCTTTAAATGTAGGTGTGGGAGGAAATTGTGGATTGGAAGGTGCCAAATTTACCCCGTTTCTCAAATGTAGCTGCATCGCTTCTCGTAACACCACCGATGCTTTGGCCTTCAGAGGATTTGCAATCCCGTTTCCCTAAAATACTTCCCTTAAAGTGTTCAGGCAGTCTTGGCTCTTCTCTCATGGGCAGTAAAGAACTCCCTTTGTGACCTGAGGCTCGATTTTCTAGATAGGTCTCTTCTCACTGACGCTGTGAACGTAATACATGTGCGTAACGAATAATTCTCTGGTTTTGGGAAGGTCCCTGTTAATTTGAGCACCTTGCTTTGGCTGAGGATTTCCCTGGGAGATCCAGCTGCAAACGGAAACATTGCTGGGCAAAGCTGATGGAAGAGGGAAGCCCATGGGTTTCAAATGCAGATATTTCTCAGGATGAAGGGATTATTGTGAATGTGCTCTTAACTAACAGGCTGTCGGGGAGCTGCGGTGTCTTTAACTCTTTCCAGAGGGCTGCATGTTGGTTTTTGCATGTTCACCCAGCATTTCAAAACCAACTCGATGCAGCTGTGTTTTGAAACGAAATGGTCTCTTGAAAACACAAGTCTACTAACAAGAAATGTTTTTACCAATTTATTTCTTAAATGTAGGTGAGGAAAACGCACACTGAGGTCACAGTACCCACCACGAATGGTGACCAGCCCCAGGTTTGTGCTAATAATTCAGTTAGGTTGCTCACTCTTTTTTTTTTTATTTTTTAAGGTTAAAAAGTGAGGTTCAACATATGTAAATGAACCAACAACTTTTTTTTTTTTTATCACTGCCCCACAGCAGCAGCCTGCAGAAAAAGAGGAAGAGCTGATAAGAATGAGGAAGGTTAGCCATTTTACACTTTCACCAAACAAATTTGCCATTATCATTCATGCATCTGTAACCTGTTTAAAAAGACAGTGCTCCAATTTCTTCGTGTGCTTTGGGTTGGGCTTTTAGGGTTGTTTTTTTTTTTAAACTACAACTATCAAATAATCTGTTTTTAAAATTAAGGGTTTTGTCCCGTAGACAGTCTGCTGAAATTGTGCATGTTGAATGCCAGAGAGAAACACATTTGGTTTGATTGATAAAACTTACCTCTGCTTCTCTCTAACAAATTTAGTTAGAAACCAAAGAAAACTACAGTGTGCATTCTGGGAAGGGCAATAAAAAAAAAAAAGAGTGCAATTGGGTTTTGGATTGATGAAGCCATAGGGGACATAGCCCAGATGGGGAGGGTGGTTAGGGCACAGCTCCTGCGCACATGTTACGCCGGGCAGCGCAGCCCCCTCCACGGAACGGGTAAACTCTCCCGGTGGCAAGCGATGCAAACCAAGGCAAAAGCCGATGACCCCCCGGGGGCTGTCTCTTTAAAGGACTCATTGCATTTCCCCATCCTCCATGAAGCAAGAACTCCCCATTTCCCGGATGCCGGCCCCGCGCCGGCGGCCCCGCGGCGGGGTCCCCACCCCACGCTGGCACAGCGCTGCGCTCCCGACCTTGAGTTAACCTTTTTCATTTGCCAAATTTGTCGATCCCGCAAGAACAACATTTTAATTTTTACTGCTTTTTTTTTTTTTGTTTTGTTTTGTTTCCCCCTTTTCTTTCATTTTCACAGAAAAGATCAAAGAGGCTAGATGGTGAAAACATTTATATCAGGCATAGCAATTTAATGTTGGAGGTTTGTATGAACTTGAAGCTTTTTTCAGTTGCGTTTGCCTAGACCTTCTGCATCTGCGCTGAACTTTTTTCTTCCTCTTCTGCTGCTGCCTTTGTTTTTGCATGCTGTTGCATGGACGACTTTTTGTGTTGGTTTTTTTTTCTTTTAAATATGCTTTTGCATGGTGACAGTAAACATGACAATGTGCAGGCATCCTTCCTTCTACCTCTTCTGACTCTCATTCTCTCATCCTTACCCAAAATATATGATTGGCAGAGCCCAGGTCTGCTCTTGGACTCGCTGGGTGCTCACAGCGGCACGGATCGTGGCTGGGGGGGAGGCTCATTTACAACTTTCTCATTGCCTGAGATAAGTTATATTCCTGGGGGAAAAGACAGTCTGTGAAAATGCAAAAATGAGGAGGAGCTGGAGGTGGAATTGTCACCTCCGTGGCGCTCAGGCCACCGCGATGCCCACGTCCCTTCCGACAGGAGGCGTCGCTGGGTGCTCACAGCGGCACGGATCGTGGCTGGGGGGGAGGCTCATTTACAACTTTCTCATTGCCTGAGATAAGTTATATTCCTGGGGGAAAAGACAGTCTGTGAAAATGCAAAAATGAGGAGGAGCTGGAGGTGGAATTGTCACCTCCGTGGCGCTCAGGCCACCGCGATGCCCACGTCCCTTCCGACAGGAGGCGAGGCGACGCCTTGCAGCGCCTTTCACACTCCCGTGGGCGCCAGGTCCCCTCGGAGCGACGTGGGGGCTCGAGGGTCATGGGTGGCCCGTGAGTGGGCGAGAGGCCGCGGCCTTGGGAGCCCTTTACACTTGGTTTCACCGAAGCGCGGTCTCAGAACAGACCATGCCGATCATATATTTTATTTTTTTGAATTCACTGTGTTATGGGAGACGTTCTGTGGCTTCTGATACTCTGTTCCTGTGTTACGTGTTTCCACTCAGACTTGCAGCACCAGCAGCTGGTAGGGTTTTCCTCCTTGGTATCACTTGAAAGTGAAGTGTACTAACTGCCTTCTCCAAATATGAATTTTAAAAGTTTTGCAGCTTTTGGGTGGGTGTTTGGGTTTTTTGGGTGGTTTGGTTTTTTTGTTTTTTTTTTTAACTGCTACAACTTGGAGCTTTCGGCCACGAGCGAAGGGTCTGCAGCACCATGGGCAGGGCTCGGCCAGAGCGCTGCGAAGACTCTGCCTGTCGCTTTCTTTCACCCAACTCGAACAGCTCCGTCTCCCCAACCCCGAACAGCTTCTTCATTGCTTCTGAACCCCTTTTCCCTGTTGGTGCAATACATGGCTCTGGCACCCAGCCCCTTCTCCAGCCCATTCCCTCTCCGCTGCCCTTCCCACCGGTTCTGTTGCAGGTGCTCCAGCCCTCCCCTAGAAAAGGGCTGACCCCAGCAGCTCACCGCCTTCATTCCCTTTGGCAGATCAGATGTTTTTTCCAGCAGACCTCACACTTCCGAAGCTGCTGCTTGATTTTACCGAAAGCCGTTTAACGCTCCGTGCTCCCTCCGTCTTCTTATAAAAAGGGCAGACCAGGAGGGAAAGCGTTAACGCTTTAGCGAGCTTCTTCCTCGAGATGCTTTCAAGACCCGTTGTGGCTCCACGTAGCTCCTCCTGGCTTTAGCTTCTCTGCGAGCGCTCCCAGGACCAGCTCCTGCGCAGTGGTGGATAGCCAAGGTGGTCTTTCTCTCTTCCCTAACCCAGGAGCAGCCGTAGGGCTCCTGCACCCGGGCAGGGCTTTACCCCGGAGACCTCAACAGACTCATTCGTGCCTTTTTTCTTCTGACTAGCAGGCACTTGCCTTGTGCTTTCATCCGGGACGGGTGCCAAAACTGTTGTTTCCCCCAGAACCATCCCCAAAAGAGCAAATGCTCTTAATGAGGCGCTGGGGGCTGTAGCCCTGTGGAGGGAGGGCGGGCGTCCTGGGTGAGCTGCAGGGACGCAGACACTGAGGGGGTGACACCTCCCTTGGGGATGCATTTGCTCTCCCCCTTCCAAAATCCACAGGCTGAGTACCAACTAAAAGCACAAAACTAGTGAAATTTCCCAGTGATGCTTTTACTGACCTTAATTTCCCCCTTTCTAACGGGTGAGGCTTGCTGCTTTTTGGCACTGTCCGGAAAAGTTGTTGTTTGGCTTAAGCCTCTTTTGTGCAAAAGCTTTGTTTTCCATGAACTCTGTTCCGCTTGCAAGCAAAAAGCTATTTGTAAACAAGCTGAAGAGAGCTGACGTGCCTTGAAGCCCATGTATTTATGCTGCAAACTGGCATCACAGAGTAGAAATCCAGTTCTTTCAGGTGAAGGATTGCAGCAGGAGTTCCTTGAATGATCCACCATCAAGTAAATTCTAAAATCGACTGGAGAGGGCTGTCATCTCATCTTCATTTCAGAAGTCTAAAACCTCCTGTGGTAGCTCCTGGAGGGATGAGATGAGAGGTGGGGGGGGAGAAAGGTAAAGGTATTCTAGGACCAAAGATAATTCCTGGTAGGATGAAAGAGAATAGGTATGAAGAGAATAAATAACATTGGGAAAACATTTTCTGAAACACTAAAGCATTTATACCCCTGAATATTCAGGCTAGCAGAAGGAAAAGAAAGCAAACCCACCCGATTTAAAGGCATCAACTTAAATAACCCAAACAAACATGCTCTTGCAACTTAAAGAATCCCATATGGGGGGAGCCGTGGGTCTACCCCTCAGCTGTCATCCGTTTGGTGTAGCGAGAGATGGACTGATGGCACGTCCTGCTCCCAGAGGAGACCCCGCTCCGTGCCAGTTGCAGCTCATCCCAATTAATACGAGAGGAAAGAGGAGAGAGGACGTTCCCTTTGTGTGTTTGCCGTGTGAGCACAACTGGTGGAAGTCGGCAGGAGCTCTGCTGGGCGCAGCTTTGCTATGCGGTAGCCTGGGCGCTGGTGGGTGTCCTCTCGTGCCTCTTGGTTGATCCTGTCCTTTTGCTGATAGGATCTGGATAAGACCCAAGAAGAAATAAAGAAGCATCATGCCAACATCAGTGAGCTGAAGAAGAACTTTATGGAGTCCGTCCCAGAGCCTCGGCCGAGTGAATGGGACAAACGTTTGTCCACTCACTCCCCTTTCCGAACCCTCAACGTCAACGGACAGATTCCCACGGGAGCAGATGGAGTGAGTACCTCGGCAGCGCGCGGGTGTCAGTGCACTGCCTTGTTCCAAGGGACAGCTTTGTAGCCCGGGGGTTCAGCCTCAGCTACCCTTAGTTATATTGGATTTTAATAGTTAATACTGACTTTCAGCATGTTTGATGGTCTCTGAGAGAATGGATATGTTAGTGGTAGTGTCAGAAAAATTGGATTTATTTGGTAGAAGAGAATGTAGGAATTCTTCACCAGGTTTTGATGCCGCTTTTCCTAGCTTTGCTGTCATCTCTGACTATTTCACGTGGCTGTTTTGGGGACTGACGTATTCCTGGTGCCAGGGAATGCATCTCCCCAAATGTGGAACCACCCCTGCAAAAATACCCCAAACACCTGAATTGGAGGGAATTGTTACGTCAGAGATAACACTGCAGGTAATCCAGAGGAGCAGCACTAGGATGGTATCAATTTTCAAAAGCCACTTTATTCTCCAGTTAATCCAGTATGTCATTGGGTTTCAGCTGGATTAGGATCTGCAGGTGCCGATCTGCTGTGGAGGCTTCAGGGAGACCCCTCAGGTGGCTACAGCAGGGCTGTTCATACGTGACGGAAATCTTTCTCCTTGCAGGAACAGGGTCTGTATGTTAGTAGCCGCATACATTCCCCATCGCTCTGCTAATTTCCTTAAAAAGGTAATTTTTCAAAGAATTCAAGTTGGAGCAGCAAAGATCTGTCAGCCAACTGGTTTCTTCTTGCATAACAGACAGCTGCTCTGGTTAATATTGGTGTTGCCTAGCTCCGATTTGAAACTTGGGAGTAAAACTGTAGTTGGAAGCTGTGGTAACCAGTCTCCTAAATAATAAAAGTGATTTTTTTATTGCATCCTGGCTGCAGTGGTGGCAGGCATGTAGCATCCCTGGTTTAAGCCCAGCTTCTCCCCTTCCTGCCCCAGTGCTGCTGATAAACCTGCAGTTCATCTTCGAACCGTTGCAAGGGAGATACATTCCGAACAGAAATAATCTTGCAGTGGAGGGAGGGTCATTGGGACAGGGGGTTTTAGCAGTCAGGTTTAATACAGGTTCCTCCAACACAGAGAAAATCCATGACAATGATAGGGCTCTTTTTCCCCCTTAGGAAAAAAAAACCACAAATGAATTAATGAGGGTGGATCGTTATCCTTGGAATTACGCTGTTTATAACACGTGGATGGGTTTTGCTCTTTGGTTGCTGAGCCTCAGTGTAAACTGCGCAGGGATTTGGGCAGCAGCGCGATGCAGAGCTCTGCCCCCAGCGCCGCGTGCTGTGCGGATGCGGGGGGGGTAGAGCAGGGGGCTCTCCAGCTCCACGGCTGCACCTCAAGAATGATATTCCTGGTTACTGCGAAGAGTTTCTGGCATGGGGACCGCAGAGTGAGGTCGGGGGGCTGCTGTTCACGATGCTGGGGTGATGTGGGCTTTCCCCATCAAAGGCTGCAGTGGTCCACAGCGAGGCAAGAATTGGTGTCAGCCCTGGATTTGCATTTCTGGGAATTCCCTCTTAATCTGATCTTCTCTGAAGTGGTCTTGCTCTGCTGTGAGCTTCCAGAAATGCATCTTCGCCAGGCACCCACCGGGGACGGTGTTTTCCTTCACCTGCATGTGAAATCATGATGCAAAGCGACCCTGTTTCTCCTGTTCCTGCTGGTACCTTCACCCTGCGGTAGTGGCCAAGGGGTGTTCTGCCGGGGGCTGCTTTTTTTGCTGTTCCCAGATGTTTTATTGCAAGTCAACTGAACCTTAACACGCTTTGTGTGTCCAGGTCAAGAAAGTCACTGTCCTATCTTCTGAGAGACAGGTTGGTGGGCCTGAGGTAAAGCTGCTGTTCTGACATGTGCTGCTGAACACAACTTTTGAGCAAAACTCCGCCGTCGTGGCTGGATAACTTTTTTTTTTTTTTTTTTCTTTTGGCTACATGAAATAGTTTCATAACTCACACCGAGAGGACTTGTGCACTGCTGCAGCTTTTGCAGCTTTCGATTTTGCTTATTTCGGTGCATGGCTGGTTCGAAAAAAACCTGCATGAAAGATAGAACCGTGTATTCGGAGAGAAAAGCCATTATGAAAGTTTAACTGTACCCTGTTCTTTTTATGTTGTCTTTCTTTCCGTTTTCTTTTTCGTTTGTTTTGATGATCACGTTACTCTTGCATTTTATATTTTCTTTTGCTGCCCAGTCTCCCAGCTACTTTCTCCCCAGTACTCATCACTTAGGGGTGTGCAAAGAACCAGTCCCAAAATACCGCACGGATCAAAGGAGGCTAGCTCAGCTGAGAGAGCTTAGAGCCAAGTTTTTCCTCTCCTAGGTGCACTTGGGCTTGACCAGGCCTGGCGAACCAAAGGGATGGAGAGTTCCCAAACAGACACATTTCCCACAGTCTTTTCTTTCTTCAACGAAAGCGCTAGAGCCCCTGCATGATCCTACTGGATATACTCCCTCTGGTTTTTTTACATTCCTTAGACTCCAGCAACAGAAGTGCTAAAATGCAGAGGAAGATGTAAGGACTTTGCAGTGCTCCTGCTGCCACCCCGCCTGTTCCGCACTTGGGGTGTCTCGGTTGTAACAGTTTATCGCTGGTTCCAGTGGAATTTTCAAAACAATCCTAATTTTGATAACCGCCAGCAGAACTTTGCAGAAGCATTTTGTATCTGCGCTGCAGTCTGCCTGTCCCACGGTCTGTAACGCGCGCTGGTTTTAAGGGCACCCTGGGACGGGAACCGGTCAAAGACCACATTTTGTACTACACCGTTCCTATTCCGAATGCCTCCGACGTTTTTTTTCCCCACCCATTCCGATGCCAAAACACTTCAGTAGGTTTTGAGCATAGAGTTTTCTGGCAGGGCAGGTGCAAAACACGCGTGATCCTGATCCAGAGGCTCGTGAGCTCTGCGGAGAGAACTGGGGTTTTGTAGCTCCAGGGCTGGTGCGACCCGAGCCGCCGCGCTCTGCTCTCCGGGGCAGCTTATTTTTCCGTTGAGAGGAAGGCTGTCCTAACACTTTGCACACCTCCAAGTATCGGTTTGGGCACTTTCCATCTGTCATTTTTGTTCATCTCTCTCTGTCTTTCTTGATCTTCTACCACGAAAGCAGACACGGGAACGTCCTCTGTTAGTACAGGATGAAGACAAACTAAAAAAGCAGGCGATGCCTACTGAGACAGCCTTTCCCCGGCAAGCAAGTGAAGAAACTCTTCCAAAGGTTTCTATTCCGATTCCTGAAGAGCAGAAATCACTCAAAAAGTGTCAGCTGTACTCTAGCATTTTTCCTTCTCCACGCGTCCCCTTTTTGATGTCCTTTCTCCTGGTCGTAGCACTGACTGTTTGGTGGCTGCTCTTTCTCTGAGTGGCAACAGGGTCATGGTGAAACCTCAAGACCAAAGCTCCTGAATTTCTTGGCCGTAGCCTCTGCTGCATCTTCCTTGTCCTGGTCTTTGGTATCTCCGTAGTTGGCTGTCCCGGGGAGGGACGCCCTGTGACCGTCGTGTTAATCCCGCTCTGTGTCGTTGCGTAGCTGTGATCTGGGTCCTGGCAGGAGTGGTCATGGATTGCCAGCTCGTTCTGAAGTTTCCTAGTGTGCAAAAGCGAATTTCTCTGAACCGTGTTCCCGATTGCTGCGAGAGGGCAGACGGGGAGGGTAAATACGTGGGGGGAGATGTTTGCTGCCTCAGCCCCTGTAGACTTCGTGTAGGAGCTGCTGAAGACTTGCTCTTAAGCTTCTTGTTTGAAATGCGAGGTGTCCACAAGCTGAAGGACATTTGATGCTGGTCCAAAAGAGGCTTTACAGCAACGTGCTGACTCTAATCCATAACCACTCCTTTCTATGAAACCAAGATTGGCATTTAAGCAGAAAGTGTTGATTGCCAATGCTGCTGTTAGTGTTTACTCGGAGACAGGCACGGGCAACTTTTCCTTTTCCTGGTGGGGGGAGCCTTTTGCAAAGCACCGCAGCGTCCCTCTCACACCCCTGCTCTCCCTTCTGAGAGAATACATCGTGTTGCAGGAGAAAACCCATTGCAAGGAAATATTTATTGTAAACGTAGATTAATCATTTTTCTGAATCTGGTGGCCTTGGTGCTCTTCCAGTGTGTGGTTTTTTTTTTTAAATTTGTGTTGAACTAACCGACGCATGTTTGCTTAGGTCACAGGAATGGAGTAACCTGCCCTTAGGTACGTCTCCTCTATAGCATGTTGACTTTACTATGTCAGGACACGCTTCTAATGTTAAAGCCATCGATTGTTTTGACTTCTCTAACCAAGCTGTTGCATGCTGCTTGTTGTTTATTGCCTCCAAATGTAAATGTCTGGATGATGCTCCCGTTTATCCGAGTTACCCGGGTGTAGCTGCGTAGGCTCCGAGACGAGCTGCTCAGCTGGGCTGAGTAGAAGAGGTTTGCGAGGTGGAGGGAAGATGGGACTTTGTGTCTGTGGGGTTTCTTTTCTGTATATAGCAATTACAGGCTGAGCCGAGCCAAGCGCTTCTCCGTTCAGTAGTAATCTGCTCCCTGTTGCTTTCTCTGGAGGGTGGTGTAGGCACAGTTACTGCTGAGAGCAGCCACCCCTGCCACCAGTGTGGGCAGCTGCTCCAGCTGCGTAGAAGAGAGAGCAGACCTTTATTACAGGGACTAAAATGTGTGAATATATATAAATACCTGTATTTATAGCCCTTTGTAGATGTGTGTGTACAGTGTTATTTAGGAATCTAGCAGATGAGCTTGCAGGAAAAGACGTAAGGCAAATACGGCATGTGCTGTCTGATGGATGGACCGTGGTGTATCACGGGCCGTTTTGAGCCGCCTCTCTTGCTCTCAGTGAGGTCGAGGCTCTCTAAACGCTGTCTCAGAATTTTAGGTTGCTAGTGAAGCCCTTCGTTTCAATCTCACAGGAATCTTTCCGGTTACTCTAGTAACCTGCTCCGATGAGTTCACCGGTTTGTGCCTTTAGGACTTTGTTTTCTGAGGATGCTGGTTTTTCATTGGAAAGTATTCTCCCCTTGTTAAT